TTTTATTTTGCTTAGTATCTTGATGACTACAACATGAACTCATCCAAAGAAATGAAGCTTGTTTTCTTTATGGACGCAATAGAGCACGTCTCGAGGTAAGGCTTCACAAATCCAAAAAACCTAGAGCATTTAAACCATTATTATTAGCATTATTTTATTAGGCCTGATAAACAAACATTTACAATGTAAATATTCATTGTTTTTGTCGGTTTTGTCTTTGGTTGTTTGTTTTGTTTTTTGTTTGTTTGTGTGTGTGTTTTTGTTTTTGTTTTTTTCTTTTTTTCTTTGTTTGTTTGTTGTTGTTGTTTTTTTTGTTTGTCTTTTTTGTCGGTTTGGATCATCATTTTTATTTTCATCATTATCATCATTATTATTATTATTATTATTATTATTAATTACGATTATTATCATTTTATTATCTAGGATTGCTCGTATGGTTCGTCAGCCAAGAGGAAACGCCCTGTTGGTTGGTGTTGGAGGTACAGGGAAGCAAAGCTTAACAAGGTAAAAAGACACTGACTGACTAGCCCTTGAACGTTGAATGCAGTCGGCTTTCTTTGCGCTAGAAAACCGTCGTACCAGGATAATCTCGAATTCAAATGTCGCTCATAACATCCTATGTCAGCATTTTCGTAGTCACACCGTATTTCTTCTACCCTCTTTTCTTTTCCATACTCCATCCTCATTAATATTCAGGAGCCTTCTTCCTCCAAGAGACTGCGTTTAGCTTGGTTTCCGCCAAGAAAAGCGTAGACCATCAGCTTTAAGTCTTTGATGATGGTGTATTTTTAATGTTTCCTCTTCCTCTTTCTCTTCCTCTTCCTCTTCCTCTTCCTCTTCCTCTTCCTCTCTTAATCCTTTACTCCTTATGCTAGTACCTACGATCCTCGTTAAAACTAGTTGAGACTTATATTCAACTTCTCCTTCCCATCCAAACACAACACAAACTATATCACCCCTCCCCCCTAGAAATGTTGAGATGATCAGCTTCTACTTTGAGTGAGGTGCGAACCTTTTACAGAAACAACATTGAATTGAGGGAGGGGTGTGATAAGAGTAAGTGGGGATCCATTTATTGAAAGGGATGTAAATGCCAATAGAAGTGAAGTAAATAACGAGGGTAATCTCAACAATTTTAACGCGGTTCTTTGATAACTAACCCATCGTATATCTATCCATGATAGGCTTTTTTATACTAAACATGCTAACACATGGCTTAGGGGAGACTTTAAAGGACGTTAATAGTTTCAAAGATCTTGGTGTTACTATCTCCAATAATCTATCCTGGAGTGAACACATTGGCATCACC